GTGTGTGTGTGTGTGTGTGTGTGTGTGTGTGTGTGTGTGCGTGCGCGCGCACCACTATGTTTCTGTGGACACTAAAGCTTTGCCGGAAAATGAGATGTCACCACCAGTCACTCACACACACACACGCGCATGCGCGCGCACACACACAGGCAAACAAAAAAAAAGGATCAGGCAGCCCCCCTTCTGACATTAACTCAGTGTTAATAGAGTGTTGTCTTGCGAGCACGGTTATTGGATGATCTGTGGGTCCAACAGATTAACATGTCTAATACTATCAGCAGGCAATCTAAGACTGCTTCTGAGGAGCTGAAGAGAGCTGCTGTTCATTATTCTCTGATGAGAGTGTGGTGGTGGGAGGGGGGGTTGAGAGCCTCTCACATCTATATTATCCAGGGTCTGTGGACAAGTGGGGGGCTGGGGGTTGAACATGAGCAAAATGAGATGTGGGGTGTGTGAGTGTGCACAGAATCAGAAGGATGCAATAAAAAGCCCAAACTAAATTGACATCTCCTGCTCACGTGCAGCGATGCCTCCGTTTACGACTGTTTCTATATTTCCATGCTCGCACAGTAGATTCTTGTGAGAAGAAATGATAACAAGGTGCCATACAAGAGTCATGCCAGTAAATAAAAACAGGCCAAGAATGTTTGGAGGGAGCGTCGGTGGATTGCGACAAGCTTGGCAAAATCCACCACTGGACTTCAGCGGAGGGAAGGTAACCCATCACTTTGTGACAAATCCTGCGTCAAATAGTCCTGTTGGAGACAAACAGGCCTTCACAGAGTAGGTGAATAACACCAGAACTTTAAATCAAGCTCCATTTGTTTTGCAGGTTTCCTTCACATTCAGATGAGCAGAAAGATTTTGAGATTTCTTTTCTGATTTTCATGATTGCTTGATGTCTGCAGTCACTGGCAAAGCTAATTCTGTATGTGTGCCTGTGTGTGCGTGTCTGTGCCTGTGTTGGTGTGCGCGCGTGTGTGTGTATATAGGTCTGCATCTCGGTATTTATGGGGCAGGGAGCTTTGCTGTTGAAGCAGAGACCGGCTTCATCTATATGCAGATCATGTAGTGTGCAGCTCAATCGGCTCATCCCCTCGTCTGTGACTGAATGTGACTGGCACTCTGATGCATCTGGACGGGGTGGTTTGTGAGGAGGGGTGATGTGGAGAGAGGAGCTCTTATGCTAAATGGCAAAGGAGAAATCATGTTATGGCATTAGTAAATCAGTGGCCCATTGACCCTGTGCACGGTGCAAAATGAAATTCATGAGCTTGAAGGGGAATAATGAGGCCTGAGAGACAGATGTATGCAGAAAACCAACAATCACTAATCCAGAGGTGATAAAGGAGTGCAGCAGCAGTCCGGCCTGCTTCTTCTGTGGGCAGACAACTAAGATTTGAGGTTTGAAACTGCTCTTTATTTTCCTGTTCTTCATAATAAATAAAAAAACTTTTTTTAAATATAACATACAGTATCACTAGAATTGAATCTTGGGTGCTGCTTCAAACTACAATTACCACTACGCGGTTGTTTGCTTCAGTCAACCAGTCAAGTGACAGTTTACAACATGTCTGTCCGAATGTCTTCATCATTTTACATTATTAGACATTTGTGTGAAATTCTCATAATTAGCATATGAATTCTTGAAATGCGTTTTGTGAGGTCACAGTGACCTTTGAATACCAAACTCTAAATCAGTTCAACCTTGAGTGCAAGCAAAGATGCTCTTTTACAAAGAAGTCCCATTTCAAGCTCAGCCACTGGTTTTTAAATGGCAATCACTTCCTGTCTGCTAAGTGGGCATGGTCACGGCGTGTTTCCTCTCCATCCCCGCACCTCGTCTGGAAGTGTTGTGAACGTCGTGTGGATGGATGTAAGGAGATTGGGTTGTATACTGTTGCAATGTTATTTGCAAGAGAGTGTGTGTTGATGACACAAAGAAGATCTCTGATGGAAGTGGACGTTTGTGCCAAATTTGAAAAAATTTGCTCGAAGTGTTCCTGAGACATCACGTTCAGAAGAATGTGACGGACGTGAGGTCACAGTGTCCATGACTTTTGACCTCCAAATCCAATCAGTTCATCTTTCAGTCCATGTGAACGTTTGTGCCAATTCTCAAGAAATTCCCTTCAGGTGTTCTTGTGATTACATTCACAATAATGGACCGAACGGAGGGTCGGACGGACCCACGGTCGGATGGATAACCCAAAAACATAATGCCTCCAGCCACGCCTGTTACCAGTGTGGAGGCATAAAAAACATACTGTTAACGTACTGATTCCCAACCATTTCAGGAGTATTAAGTATTATATACATATTAAGGTATAGCTGAACACACGTCTAACTAACACTGCACCCATCTCCATTCACCACTGTCCCATTCATTTACCTAGAGAACAGTAGCTGCACCATGTCAACCAGTGTATGTTCAGCTGATTTCCTGAGGAGCTCTGCAAACACAGAAGAAAAACAGACATTAGAACCAAACACAATAAATAGAGAAGCAGGTTCAGCCGAGACAAATACATTTCAACTAACTAACTAGTCTGTACAAGCTAGAGCTATGCAGGCTGTTTGGGATATTTGTAATTTGTCATTCATTATTTGACTATTTTAATGCAAAGAAGACCACATGCATCCAAACCTCAGGGTTTGTAGTACGAGTTGATATGAATGGAAGTGAAGTAAAACAACCCAACATCATCTTGCGAGTCTCCATAGAAATGACTATCCCATCAGAAATAGAGGTTGATGACTCACCACTTAGGCGCATCTCAAAGCAGATCCTGAAGCAGGACTGCATGATCTCACAGACGGACTCGTTGGTCAGATGGGCTCCAACGGGTGTCAGCAGCAGAGTCCTCAGGACCTGAAACAATGTATAATATGGCTGTCCTTACATCCAGTCAATCAGCTTCATCTAACAAGTAATTATGATGAGGAGATTAAAACTAATAATTGTCGAGTAGAATCCTACTACAAATACTTGTTCTGCAACATGCATATTTTTATCAAAAGGAGCTTAAAAAATGTGCAGTTTACATCCCCAAGCTGTGGGATGTACTCTGAGCAGGAAGGGAAACTATGCCGGGTCTGTGCCCAGGTAGACAAACATTTACAGAAGCTCGTCACCCTCATGGCAAAGTAGTGAACATCCTCTTCCCACAACTTGTGCCCGGTGATAACTTTATGAAAGACTGCTGGAGGTAGAACCGACACTACCATTAAGAATGCCCTTCATGTATTATTTGGTCATTTGTTTACTTTCCTGTTTAGGTAAAAGTAAGGTGGTATAGTACAGTATAGTATTTTAATAATCGGATTAATTGATTATCAAAATAGCTGTTAATTGCAGCTCTACAGGGGACACATTTATGTTGATAAGCTATGAAAAAGTGCATTTTTTACAATATGTCACCTTAAGAAGAAGAAGAAGAAGAAACATTCCTTTATTAGTCCCACAGTGGGGAAATTATTCTCTGCATTTGACCCATCCCTGTATATATACTGTATATAGGGAGCAGTGGGCTGCCAATGGAATGTATGTAGGATTTATGGAGAATTATTGGCAGAAATGGAATATATTATTATTAACAATGTTTTCCTTTGGTGTATAATGTGTTAGAATGAGCCCGTCATATCTACAGAGGGAGCGGGTCCTCTGCACTGAGTCCGTCGTGTTGCACCGTCATGTTTCTACAGTAGCCCAGAACGGACAAACCAAACACTGGCTCTATGAGCCTTTTGGGTTTTTACGTTACCTCAAGGCCACCGTAGTTCTCTACACGCTTGGAGAGGGAGGTGGTGAGCGGAGGGGTATGCAGTTATAAAATCAGATAGAATCTCAACCTCACCACTAGATGCAGCTGAATATGACACACTGCTCCTGCTGTTCTCATAGTAAAAAATCGTTTGCACAGATATTTCTGAACAAAACATGTATCAATATCAAAATATGCATTATAGTCAGAAGGCTGAAAAACAGAGATATTATGTTGTGGCCGTCTCGTCTAGCTCTTGAGACCTGGACCTCAGAAAAGTGTTGTTCCAACTACGTGTTCATTTGAGAGTCCATAAATGACAATAAATGACCATGAGCTTAAATCTACAGCTCAATACACTTCACTGTTTCAGTCTCAACAAGACATCAGCTATACGTTTACAAAGGTCTCCCTGTGCTGGAGGAACTTGTCCAGGTATGGAGACACCATGAACCCTATTGGTCAGGTCGATCCGGTCAGTGCCAGGCCTCTGTGGTTACTACTAGTAAACGTGTTTTACCTGTAGAATTTTCATGAGGACCACTTCATCGCTGGCAGGGTCTGTTCCCACAAACCTAGCGTGTGTGACTGCGTCTGCCATGTTCTCAATGGCTTCTGCTGCTGCTTCATGGTTTGCATCTGCAAACAGACAACAAACAAGGTAAACTTGATAACGAGAGCTGTTATCAGTAAAGAGCACTGAAAGGACGCCATGTAACTGAAGCTGCAGCTGCAGTCTGAGAGTTGAGATGGACTATGATTGTGGAAAATGTGACAAATGATTTTTATTCATTCATCTTCATTTCATGTTTTATTCAACAATTCATAAAGTGAAAGGTGTAGCACAAATTGTAAGTGTTTATGTGCATGTATGAAGTGTGTTGTTTAAGTGTGTATTATTCATATATTCCTGCTGTATGTGAATAGTTGTGACCAGAGGTTTTATGTCCGAGGAGGCGCAGGAGAAAGAGAAGAGGAGAGAGAAACAAATCAATTTATATTTTAATTTTGTTGAGAGTAAGTCATATGATGATACTAATGTTATTCTTCTTATAATTATTATCATTATTTATGAATTCATTATTGTTAACTGTTATCTTTTCTTTACCATTAGAATTATCATTAGTGATGATAATTAAGAGGAAATAGGTAAATCAATGAATGGGTGTTCAGTGTGGAAAAACCATCCTGTGGCAGATATGACAGAAATCTGGATGAGTCACCATTCCAGCAGTAATGTAAACCGAGGCTGTGATTGTGTGTAAACTCAGCAACCAAGAACACAGCTCCAAGGGCTCAACACATAAACACAAGGGGACAAATATGGTACAGCCCGTCCACATTGTCCTTCAGACCCTGGGATCTAATGACCAGATGTGGCCTTTTGTTGGGGGCAGGCTGGGACAAATTGGCTGTCAGAGCAACAGCAGTCAGTGTTTTTGAAACCTGAGCGGCTGGCCAGCTCTCTGCCTGGAGCCGGCCTGTTTTCCTTTCCCATCGCCCTCAGGGGCAGCAATTCATTAACTAATAAGCACAGGGGGGGGGGGGGGGGGGGGGGG